AGCTCATATCGATATTGTGAAGATAATCTATGTTCGTGAGCAGCTATTATTAGTATGATTACCACCTCTCCCTCTTCTGCAACCACTACTCCCCCTTCTACCATTACCATTATTATTATCAATAGCGGTATTATTTTCTTTTTTATTGAGATATCATTCACATGTAATAAAATTCAGCCTTTTTAAAGCATACAATTTAGTGGTTTTCAGAGTTGTGATTTGCATTTCCCTGATAACTAATGATGTTAAGTATCTTTTCATGTCCTTACTGGTCATTTGTGTATCTTTGAAGAAATGTCTATTTGAATCCTTTGCCATTTTTAACTGGGTTATTTGTCTTTAAATTATTGAGTTATAAGAGTTCTTTATACATCTAGGTACTAGATCTTTCTCAGATATATGGTTTACAAATATTTTCTCCCACCTTGAAGGTTACCTTTCACTTTCCTGAGAGTGTCCTTTGAAATATAAAAGCTTTAAATTTTTTTTTTTTTTTTTTTTAAAAGATGACCGGTAAGGGGATCTTAACCCTTGATTTGGTGTTGTCAGCACCACGCTCAGCCAGTGAGCGAACCGGCCATCCCTATATGGGATCCGAACCCGGGGCCTTGGTGTTATCAGCACCGCACTCTCCCGAGTGAGCCACCGGGCCGGCCCATAAAAGCTTTAAATTTTGATGGAGTCTAATTTATTTATTTTTTCTTTGGTTGCTTGTGTATTATTAATTCTAAGAAGAGACTAAAGGAATCGTTTCTTGGCCTTTTGGCTAAGATCAAGTGTAGTAAGAAGAGACTAAAGGCAGAAAGTTATGAAGATATCCTATAACCAGGTAAGTTGTTCAGACTTGTAATAAAGTACTCATTAAATCATGAATTTCCATTTAGAAAACACATCCACTTTATCTTGGTGAAGGGCAAGAAGGAAGCTATTCATCTCTAAGTTTTTAATTAACTAGATTTTCGGATCAAATATTTGACCTTTGAATGCCAAGTTTCCAATAAACTGCAAAGAAATAAAATTCTAGTCAGATTTGTCTGTTTTCAGTGCTATTTGTCACAATAGCTAAATTTTCATAGTCTTTTTTAAAGTTGTAATTGTTTTTCAAATTAAGCACATTTAAATGGATTTTTAAGAGTTTCAAACTAATATTTCTCTGCAACTGCACAAAATTAAAGACTGGCATGGCATAACCTAAGTGTTTAATTGCTCAATAAATACAAAACAGATAATATATAATCTCACATAATCAGTGGGATTATGTAATTTCTCAATGTAATAACCCTAAAGAATCAATTGTGATTATTGTAAGTTTTCTAAATAAACAAAAATAAAAATCAGTCATTAGTATCCTGAAAAAGGTATCCAATACCACTATTATCTTTTTTACTTTGTTGAACAACTTTCTGATTTAAAAAACTTTTTGATTTAAAATTTTTTTGAGTGGTGATGGTTGTACAACAATATTAATGTACTTAATACCACTGAACTGCATGCTTAAAAATGGATAAAATAGTAAATTTTTTATGTATATACAACCACAATTTTTTTTTTTTTTTTTTTTTTTTTTTTCCGTTTCCGGCAACGGA